TGCCAATGCGGCCGTACTGAAATGTTAAGGCGGTACCAGACACCCCTGCTATATACAACTGGCTGTGAACAGCGGGGTGGAATCCTCTTATGTATCAAAAGTGCATTTGATTTTCTTTTTCTCAGTCAAGTGCTATTGTATTGCCGAATCAAAGGGTACAACATTGTACTCGCCCATTGTTGGTTCAGTCAGAAGGAGAATGAAACGAGCTTTATTGTACACATTGGAGATATGCGTGTCGTTTCGCTTTGTCGTCGTCAAAGTCGCGAGAGGACTTGACACAGACGACCTCGGGTGTCTCAGCATACATCCTTGTTCCGGGTGTACACCGTTGGCGATGCTGTTGATCAGCTGCCTGAGGTGCGGCTGTTTGTTCTAACAAAATTGTGTAACATGATCAAGTGTACTTGCAAAACGCGTGTGACCTAAACATAGCCGAGATATAACAAGCGGGGGTATGTGCGAGACACTACGTACTACGACGTACCCAGGTCATTTGAAATGAATTGGCGCACTGCATCTGTGAAACCGAATACGTTACTTCCATATAGTCCATTTGCGGTAATAGGCAAAGGATGAACTTGGAAAACTATGAAACTGATTGTAACAATTTAATGAAATCAAAGCAAAGTTCTGTTTCTTTACAAATTACCACGTCAATCCTTCCTATATTGGTTTAACTTGACTTGATATGAAATGGTGTGCATGACTATTAGAGTGGTAGAGTGAGTGAGTGAGTATGGATTTACGCCCGTTTTAGCGGCGTGGGCTCGTCACACTGAAAACACGGTTTGATTCCCCACATGGGGACAATAGTGAAGTCCATTTATGATTGTTCCCCGCCGTGATATTGCTGGAATATTGCTAAATGCGGCGTAAAACTACACTCACTCACTACTATTAAAGTGGCGCACTACATTTTTCAATAGGTATCGTAACTCTCTACTGTTATACTATTAATAACACTATATTTTATGTTTTACATAAGTTTTGCATAAGTTGTGGACGAGTTATACATGTTTGAAAATACAACATATTTTCGCAACAGATTTCTGGGTTATGCGTTTCTTTTTGGAATAGCATAGTTATATTTGCGGCGTTAAACAACAAAACCAACCAACCAACTTTATCTGTGAAATTAATTTACTTTAATTATTGCGGTACCCCGATGTGCGGCGCAAAACTAAACTCACTCACTCCACTTAGTTACTTTATCATAACATCATCTTAACTGCGCAATAAATAGTTATAGTTTTAAGTAATACATGTACATTCAGGAGGAATAATAAATACTTATGATAATATTGAAAATGGGTCCGTTCATGTTTTAAGCGTATTGGCGATGTGTAAGAAGCTTAGTTCATTGTACTGAAGAAATGTATAAGAGTAGATATCATTGCCTCAGATTTAAGAGCGAGTGAGTTTTATGCCTCTTTTAGCAATATTCCAAGCAATATCACGGCGGGGACACAGAAATGGGCTTCACACATTGTGCCGATGTGGAAATCAAGAACCAGGTCTTCGGCGTGACGAGCGAACGCTTTAACCACTAGGCTACCCCACATAGCTATGCGTAGATAATGATATATAATAAAACCATGTGCCAATAGCGTGTTAAAAGTAAAAGTATCTTTTGCATGACAAGCAAACCCATCATATTTCTCAAGCTTGTTAGATTATACATAGCTACTGCGAACGCAAGCACGCTTGAAAAACAAAACGTATTTAAGGTACACACTACTCGCACTTTTAACATTGCACTCTTGTGATATTTCGCACTTGCTTTGAATATGCTAGTATTTAGTAGCGCACCCACACAGTAACAACGTCTTATTCATTACGTGGAGAGTTTCAACAGGCAAGAATATGGGTGTTTACAGGTGAGCCATATATTTTGCAATCAACCGCTAGACTAAAGAAAGAAATATGCATGGCGGTTGTCAATATCCGTGAGGTGTGTGCGGTCAAGGTGAAATTTCCTTTGACTTTGGAAAACCGGATCTTTCATGGGCAAAGAAAGGTACGCATTTAGACGTCTTGTTGACACCCATTAGAAGAAAACAAAGATATACTGGTGTATGGAACATGTTTACCCACGTTTATAGCGCATGCGCATGACATGTGTAAATATACCTGTACAATATCCGTAAACACGGGTTAACGGAGAGTGTCGGCGTGTGTCAACAACTGTATCTATTTGATGAATATCTCAGGCAAACTTTAACATTAATTTTGCTCACTGAAAGAATGAGCTTTTACACCGTTTATTCACTTAAGGAGTATGTCTTTTTTTCACGTTAGCATGGCAATACTCTGTAGGGATTTCGAGCAAGAATCCTCGGAGAGCTGAGTATATGGATCGGAGGGCCAGGCTTGGGTGAGTAAGTGAGTTTAGTTTTACGCCGCTTTTAGCCATATTCCAGCAATATTACTGCGGGGGACACCAGAAATTGTGCCCGCGTGAGGAATCGAACCGGTCTTCGGCGTGACGAGCGAACGCTTTAATCATTAGGCTACCCAACCGCTGCCAGGATTGGTAGTTTGGTGGTCAGTTCAACCAAATGTCGTGGGATACTGATAGTTCCAGGTAACGAACCTTGGTCTGCAGCAACCTCAACTTTTAAGCACGGGGCATCCTGTCTTTTGAGAGGATTAAAGTGATATATTGTACTGTGAAGCATTTCGAGTCGGGGTCATTTCAATCTCTTTTTGTAATCCTTGCAAAGACACGATGGCCTGTGGTCACACTCGGTGATTTGGTTGACAGCATGTCATCGTATCCCAATTGCACGGATCGATGCTCATGATGTCAATCACCGGGTTGTCTGGTTCAGAATATATTGCTTACAGACCGCGGTCATAAGGGGTGGTGTGGGGGTAGCCTAGTGGTTAAAGCGTTAGCTCGTCATGCCCGGGTTCGGGTCCATTTCCCACATGGGTACAATGTGTGAAGCCCATTCTGGTGTCCCCCGTCGTGATATTGCTCGAATATTACTAACAGGGGCGTAAAATTTAACTCACTCACTTATAAACACCGGACGTTGCCGAGGGCAACGCTGAAAAACCAAAGTAAACCTAATATCAATCACTAGTCCGGCCGGATTCGATTGTTTCTACCCGCCAAACACAAACACACAATAGACGTCATGTACTTTCCATGAATTTTTGCAATATTACTGTGATGTCTATCCCAAGGTGTCGTGTTGGGCCTTTAATATAACTGGAACTCAAAACTTATAGAGTTCTAATAAAATGAGAGAAATTGTTGAAAGATAAAATTATGTGCTTTTCAGCGATAGTCCATACTGTAAACCACTGCAAAGTGAGATCAACTCACTGACAGACTACACGTTAAACTAACATGAATGTGATTTTATGAAACATTTAGATCTATTTGAAATCACACTTGTCATGCGAATGGAGACATATTCGCAGCTTGGAAGTTACGTAAATCTGACAGCTTTAATACAAATGTTCTGGAGATTATAGCACCTTTAATTCTTTGACCTCACATAAAGATGACAGTTTTATCTAAAAATTCTGTAGATTAAGGGACCGCCTCCGTGGTGTAGTGGTTAGAGCGTCCGCCCGGAGAGCGGAAGGTCGCAGGTTCGATTCCCGAACCAAAAGACGTTAAAATATGGTACCTGTTGGTCCCTGTCTGGCGCTCGGCATTAATGGATACAACAAGGACTGGTCGGCTCGGAGTCAGTAGGTCCCTGTCTGGCGCTCGGCATTAATGGGTACAACAAGGACTGGTCGGCTCGGAGTCAGTATAATGCGTCTGAGTGGGGTATTCATGCTTCACTGCGACATGGGATTTCAGTTGGCTAGCACTATAAAACCAGCTTAAGTCCGCACATACACATACACACGCATGCACGTCGTCATATGAGCGAAATATTCTCAAGCACGACGTTAAACCCAAATTCACCTCACCTCACCTGTAGATTAAGGCATCTTTATTCCTTTAATCACACGTTATCCTGATATCTTTAATAAGAATATTCTGGAAATTATGGACCCGTTAATCCTTTGAATGGCGCGTAATAATGACAGCTTCATTTATGAACTGACTTCCATTATATTTTTATTGCGTTCATGGAGGTATAAACGTAAAAACACACTGTGTATGACATGTTGATTGGGAGGCATTTTTTATAACTGTTAGAGATGTTCTTTGGTAAGACCCGCGGTGATATTGCTGGAATATTGCTAAAAGCGGCGTAGAACCCAACTCACTCACTCTTCGTTTGGATTTCAGCATAACTTTGCCTTTACTTCATTCATAGATTATCAGGCGTAAATTCTTATCTTCAACCGCCAAGTCCGGAATTACTACAAGTTATACTTACACGTATAAATTATAACTTGCTAACATTATATCTGTTTGTGTCATTTCGTCCGTAAACAAAACGATACACAAATTACACCAGCCTATAACGACACAATGTGCATATGAACTGAGCCAATTGATCAGCTGTTCTAAAAAATAACATGGAGTTGTCTCCCTTAGACCACAGAACGTTCCGTTGAATGTTTTCGAATGACAGCTCGGTCTACCATGGTCTATGTAATAAACTACATTTTCATAACTATCACATACAAACATAATTTGCAACTGCGACTTGACTTTTCATTTTATATAAGCCGCAGGGAAACTGGAGGCTGTGTATCTCAAGACAATGTGAATGCCAAACACGTATCGAAAGTACGCGGGGGCTATCAAAATTCTTGAGCCTAAAATATACTTCTGATATGTCCACGATAATAATAACTGTATGTTATTGAACAATTGTTCATGTCATTCACATAAACGTAATACTCAGATGCACATTTCGCTAGTGTACGGTCACGTGACATCTAATCACATGTACTCCAATTGAAACGGCAGAAATGGATATGTTTGAGTTTTTGGTCCTCGAGGGCCAGCCGGCGAAGTTCATTGAAGAGCGACTGACAGCAGTACGAGTACATAGGCGGATCCAGAGGGGGGGTGCAGGGGTACAGGGGTGCGCACCCCCCCCTTTTGTCCTGAAAGTTTATTAAATGACCATTGAAACTCTGGTGAAAATGAAGTGTGCACCCTCCCTTTTCTCAATAGTGTGCAACCCCCCTTTCTCAAAAAGCTGTATCCGCCCCTGGAGTACCGAGTCCACATAAATGCTTATGATTATGGCAGTTTTACTTTAAGGAGTCTCATCTCATAGAATCAGGAAAACTCTAACCGTCAGAAAATACTGGCACCTGTTACCATAGAAACCCTAAGGAATTCTGACAGCTGTAACCAACTGGAAATTCACAGAATCCTAAAACACTGAAAATATATTAATTCTGTAATTCAGATGAAATTTTGTTTTCTATTATCGAATACAAAGCAACAATTGTCAAGAAAAATACACAAACATTGGTCCGTTATTTAAATCGTTATTCAAATCTATAAAGGATCGCAAGCTTACGGCGCAGCCAAAACATTCACTTTTCTTTGCATAATTTGGATACAATTTCAGGACTGTAACAAAACCTGTAACGACCATTTATGCAGGAAGCATATTTTCTAGTTTAAATTCTTCAGGAGTAAATTGAATTTGATGCTGAACTTTCCACACTGAAATTGTTGGAGCAGATTGATACTAAATTGCAAAAAGATAAATTTGTTGTATGTGATTAAAATTCGACAGTTGTTTAGAATTGCACCTCTAATTGTCATATGTGTTTTCCATAATACTTGCGGAGTGTAATAAACTCGGGTGTGAGTGATTTTGTTTAGAACATTTACAATATTTGGCATTCGAAGTTGTCTTGATCAGCTAGGTTTCCATAGCAACAGAGGAAACAGAAGGATTGAACATCCTCAGGACAGTCCTACTGAACAAGCAAAGAACAGTGATCAGTACTGAAGTACCATAAACAATGGACAGTATCTTTTGTCCCTTATTGTATATATAGTGAGTGTGGTTTTACGCCGCTTTTAGCAATATTCCAGCAATCTGGGGAATCGAACCCGGGTCTTCAGCGTGACGAGCGAACGCTTTAACCACGGGGCTACCCCACCGCCCCTATTGTATTGACCACTTCTCCTAGAATTCCATATCAGCAAACGATCAATGATCACCAATTTACTTTACACGTTCTTTATGTCTAATTGATAACGGACATTTGCCAAAAAATATTTAATTCAATATATATTTTGAATCATTTAAAGATATTTACATCCAACAAGAAAATGTATTTTTCAAGTCTCTTGTTTCGTCATAAATATACATTTCCAAACCAGTTGGTTTCTCTCAGTTCATTACAAAGTACAAAATACATACAAACTCCCACATAAACATTGGTCCCTTATTTAAATCCATGAAGGATCGCAAGCTTAGGGCGCTTTTCTTTGCATAATTTGGTTACAATTTCAGGACTGTAACAAAACCTGTGACGACCAGTTATGCAGGAAGCATATTTTCTAGTTTCTTATACTTCTTTGATTTGAAACATTGGTATTCCATTCTTCAATAGAATCTGCGTGGGCTGCGAGTTCACACTCTCTTAACCTTGCACACAGTGTTTCCAGGGTGGCATGTTTCCCCCTTGTTTTCTTCCACCGGCACAGCATTTGGTAAGCTTGGTTCCTGAGATCATCTCTCTCATCATGCTTGATTGCGTCCAGATGGTGTGTCTCCAATCCAAGCCGAAGTCCAAGTGTATACCAGTCGTTTCCCAACCTCCCAGCAAGATCGTCGAGAATACGATCTGGAACGGCTAGAATGATACGTTTATAGTTAGTTTCTATGTAACACATTTTTATTTATGAAGACCTAAAATGTTGATAAAAGCTAAATATAAGCTACACGCACGTAAAAACCTGGATACAATTTGACAATTTAATAACTCGGCATATTGAATGAATGTTTCAACCACCTGGCTTCCTTGTCCTGTTGTTCGTTGGGATTTAAGGCGCTTCGAATCGAACCCGGGCCTTCGGCATGACGAGCGAACGATTTAACAACATTGTTCATCAAATCGAAGGCCCAGTTTTGATAATTCTCATTTATCTTCCTAGCTCAGTAGCAACATCCACAAATCCACAAGAAGATACCCATACTAGAGCTACTCTATGCATTAAACGTCACGGTAATTATAAATGATCATAGTGCAGTCACCCATCACCATCAATACAGATAATTACTTGTACAATGCCCAAAAGAAATATAAGCGTCAAAACATTGTCCCAAACCAAGTAAGTCCATTGTACGACTCCAAATCTATCTTAAACATGTGCTTATAAAAATCTATCACTTGGTAATAATATAAGATGTTAGCGAGAAGTATCCTTCCCCACTGGTGACAATCGACACAAACACACGAGAAGGCAAGGTAACTATAAGGCAATGTTCATCTGAACACCGGTCGTGGTGTACCCGGTGATGATATTCTCTTTTATAATACTAAAGGATGAATGAAACCCTACTCCGTTAGCCCTGTGGTGAAAGCGTTCGCTCTTTCTGAAGATTTCGAGTTCGATTCCCAATTCAAACACTACTAAGTTGAGCCCATTTTGAGTGTCGCCCAACGTAGAAGATACTATACATATTCAAAAGCGTAACATAAATTAATACATACCATCGATGGGATCCTGTAGCAATGACGGCAGAGATAATGAAGATGACATGGGACCGGGAATAGCATTACATGTCATATTGTAGTCGGAGTGACTTCGATGAATTAAGGGTAAGGACGAAGGTGCGTCTGAAGGCTGTGGTAGCCAAAGTTCACACTCAGACCTATATCTAAAGTACCCTCTCTGTCCACCATTGTCACCACTGTCGGGTTCGAATGGCACTGTTGTTTGCGGAATTTGATGAACTAACGACATTTCAGTGTTTGAGACTTGCTGGTTCGCGTTCGGAGGAGGATTTGGGAATCGCCAGGGATTCTGTCGAGTTGTAGATGTTGCAGTGGCTGCATTCGTTTCAACAGGCATCATGACATCTGTTGCCAGAGCAGTTGATTGTCCGGGCATATTTATTAGTCGGGACGTGACCATGCGTTCAGTTGAGTTCTGTGCTGTCCCTGATACTGTCCTCTCTTCCCTGATGCCGTGGATCCTTGTCTTTGTGTTCATCGCTTTGCATACGCGACTCTGCATGACGTGCCCTGAAACAATCCCGAAGTCACTTAAAAAGAATTATTTCTCACATACCGATGTAGTCTCACAGACCCTGAACCATTATTTTCCCAACCGCCCATCCATTTTTGCAATGTTATAGCCTTAAATAAAGCAAGCCTAGAATTTACAGGTTCTGAATCTCTCTTCTCTCTGTGGCGCCTTTTCAATTTAAAAGGACTTGTTTGTTTCTATCAAAATTATATATATTCAAGACTAAGCGTTAGTCTAATATGCATGCTGCTTCGAAATCTTACATTTCTATGGTTTTGCTTTTTTCGCGAAACTCTGCTGTGATTAATGATTTTCAAAGGTCCATTCATATATTTTACATTGCTACTTTTCCATTTTCACCTTTGTAATCTGTTTTTTGAGGAGAGTCAAAACTAGGTATTATTTAACACTGAGGTACTATATTTGCTTGAAGTTCACAGCAGTTATGATTGATTGGTTGATTGTTGTTTAACGCCGCACTCAGACATATTCCAGCTATATGGCGGCGGTCTGTAAATAATCGTGTCTGAACCAGACACTCCAGTGATCAACAGCATGACATCCTTCTACGCAATTGGGATGCGATGACATGTGTCAAACAAGCCAGCAATCCTGACCATCCGATCCCGTGAGTCGCCTCTTATGGCAAGCATGGGTTGTTGGGGACATGAGTACATGCTTACATGGTGACCACCAGGTGCCATCGCCATCATAGGAGCGATGCCATTTCTAACACTCACATCTTGATGTAACTTTTTACCGCTATATCATAAGAAAGATACTGTTGATCACTGGATTGTCTGGTCCAGACTCGATTATTCATAGACTATCGCCATATGAATATTGAGGCGTTAAACAACAAACAAAACCTAAAAGGACAATTTGTTTGTTAGATGCATATGATTAACGTACAGGCAATGTCCCAGCGGCATACATATATCACCTAGTAGCTACATGTTGTATAATGGTTTCTTGGTCAGCAGAACCAGTGATTGATATCATGAGCAGCTATGCACATGCACACTGTCGGGTGTACATGATCATCACACGCAAATAATAACGTCACTGAGCCTGTGTACCCTGTCCGAGTAGCAGCCTCTTGCGGTCAGCATCAGTTCCAGGAGAGCCAGATACGGACTCATGAAACACTAACAGATCAAATACGTATAGAAATATATGACCGAATATAAAAAAGTATATAACAAAATTATCAAATGATGACAAGTAGGTGGAGTGAGGAGGGTTGAACTGAATTGCAGCTTGATGCGATTGTGAAGTCATGACGGTCTTAGACGTTAATAGCTTTGGTGAAAAAAAACCCCCAGAAACTTAATCGGGATTCGAACCCATAATTTCAGGTTCCTGTCTTTGACGACTCCGGAACCTGCTCTCCATCTTCTCGACAGAATTAATCGATAAAAAAAATTAAAAAGAAAGACAAATATATATGTTTTATAAAACAAAAGCGAAACTTGATGAGAACAAGATAAAATAACCTAAATACACACTTAATAGATATTCGCATACTTACCAGGCCTGGCCTGACTTTGATCAGTAACATCCATAGGTCCTTCTATTTCCCGCTCTCCAGCTACGGTGCCCACTGCGGATCCTGTGTTTTGTACGGTGTCGTGTTCCGAGAGATACGTTAATGATAACGTACATTCGTGAGTTAGTCCAGCTTCATTCAATGTTGAAGAAGAATCAAGTGTCATGCCATTATAAACAACACCAATGGCTTCCACATGTGTGTAGAAGAGAAAGCTGAGAAACTGTTGGAGCTGACGAACGGTAAAGGTGCTACTGTCATCAACAATAACTCTTTTGACAGGAGTTTCAGAGCACGTCACAAACACACGTATACGATGAGAGTGAACTACAACCTCTATTTCTTCGGCACTTCCTAAACCCATATTACAAACGGTTATATTTCCGTCAAAAACAGAACCATTTCTGTACAACTGAAGATTGAACGGATCTGCGTTCATCTGATATGCAAGCTTTCTTTTAAGTCCATCAACAGGGTCTAGCCTAAAGGCAGTTAATATATATGTTTTAGTCGTTTCATCCCTGTGGTGTATGAAAGTCAGTTGCTGTGGTGTCGTCATTTCAACACAGATGATAGCTTTTGGTCTCACTGTAAGCAGATCGGAGACTTTCCTCACATCAGGCAGTTCTTTTTCACCTATGGTGAGTTTGATGCCCGCAGGTGGGTGGTGAATAATCTTCGAAATAGACCGTCTTAAATCAGCGATGGTGTCGTTTTTCTGAATTATAGTGATCATTTGTCGCCCCTTACAATTAAACTTAACTTGTCTGCTATCTGAACGAGCTGTAAATAGAGTCAACATATACTGTTCATGATCACTTTTGTCCGTGAGAATATGCCTTCCGTCAGTATCTCCTACCATTGTGGTGTCTTGAACAATACCATTAGAATCACAGAACAACAGGGTTGTGTCCCTTTGGAATAAGCTCGGGAACTCTGTTTTCAATTTTGTTCTGATGACGCTGATGGTGTCACTCTTGTTACAGTCAATATATGAGATCTCGTCTTTTTTTTCGTCAAGATGTCTACGAATACCTAATTTCAACTGTTCGTCAAGAAACAAATAGCTTCTACCGAACGGTTGCGTGGCAAGTTTCCCAAACTCCCCAGTTTTCAGAACGCTGCAAGGAGTTTCCTCCCCACCTTGGATATACACAGCGTCAACACGACGCCCTGTTTCATCAAAATGTACGCCAAATAAGTTCGAAATGGTTTCATTATTTTTCATACTGATGCACAAAGGACATTTGTCAATTATATCTATAAACACAACTTGCATTTCTTGCATCTGTTCATCAGTAACTAATATTGCAACTGTCTCGTTTTGAAACTCTTTCATAAGTATATTACTGGTACTAACATGGAATCGCTCCTCTAAATATCTCCTGAAACCGTTACTATGTACATCTGAACCTTGACGATCAATGGGAACTCCTTTGATATATGTATTGCTCTGTTCTCTCATATCAAAAATAAGGATGGCCTCTGTTACGTCATCTGGAGCACGTCCTTGAACTGAATCGACACTTTGTCTGTGTGTGCTGCTTGTGGCTGAAAAAATAGATTCTGATATTGATACTTTTTCCTTGTTTAAAACCAGCCTTTTATTCGCACATAATCACAGAACAAAAGTATGGTGATTTCAGTCATAATGTATGGTAAGATTAGGGTTACAATTGGTCTACAGCAACCCATGCAACTAACGGGATCGGGTGGGCAGACTGGCTGACGTGGTTTGACACATGCCATCGTATCCCAATGCATAGCTCGATGCTCATGATGTTAATAGACTCGATTATTTACAAACCGCCGTGACACAGCTGGAACATTACTGAGTGCGGAGTTAAACAGCAACCAACCAAACAAATAAACATAATGTATGGGGATTTTAATTAAATGTCTGACAATCTGGGCAGAGTTAGGGTAAGGTTTGGTCCCCAGAAGCGACCAAGTGGGCCGGGTGATCAGGCTCAGTGACGACGTGAATCATTACTCATAATATCGATCACTGGATTTTCCGGTCCGCACTGGACTATTTTCAGGTTTTCGTCATATACCTTGAAATAACAATATACCTTGCTTAACAATAAATGCATACATAAGGAACAATATATCACTAACGACATCGTTCAAAAGGCACAGACTTAATGAGTGACTGAATATGGTCTTACGCCGCTTTTAGCAATATTCCAGCTATATCACGGCGGTGGACACCAGATAAGGGCTTCACATATTGTACCCATGTGGGGAATAGAAACCGGGTTCACATACCTAATGACACGCTAGATAACGACAAACACTGTTAATTTTGATGTATGAGTTTGGCAGTCAGGGATATTTGCCAAACTGTCAACTAAACAACAAACTATACAGCGTAATTAGTATTAGGATTAATATCTGCATTAGTTATTAGTGATACTTGAAAGGATTCAACATCTCAAGTGCAACAAATCCCCTGGTATGGATTATACCACTCCTGAATGTTTTAAGAATTCAGCGGATATAATAATACCGTATTTGGAACTAATATTTAATGTTATACCCGAGACTAGTATTTTCCCACAATCTTGGTCAATTGGTGTAATTGTCCCCATTTATAAACAAGGTGATATAAATAGTATGACTAATTATAGAGGGATTACCCTCCTTAGCATATTTTAGTAAAACGTTTACTTATATCATTAATAAAAGACTAGTTGTATTGGCAGATACTCTGGATAAAATAAATGAAGAGCAAGCGGGATTTAGAGAAGGGTACTCAACAGCTGACAATGTTTATATTTTTCAAACAATTGTACAAAAGTATTTAAGAACTAAAGGTGGTAAATTTTATGCTCTTTTTGTACATTTCTTTACAGCATTTGACTCGGTATAAAGAAATAAACTATGGAATCTCTTACGAATGCATGGCTTGAGTAGGAAACTGAATAAACTTTTATGCAGTATTTATAAAGATGTAAAGGTATGTGTAAGAAATAATAACGATGTCTCAAAAACGTTTACAAGCCAGTTAGGTATAAGACAGGGCTGTATTTTAAGTCATTTTCTGTTGAGGTTCTTCATAAATGAATTAGCAACTCAAATTCATTAAAATTGCAATCATGGCATCCAATTACATCCTGATATTACGCAGCTGTGTTTGCTTTTATTTGCAGATGATATCATATTATTTTCCTTTTTTTACTGTTAATGGTCTACAGAGACAAATCGATGAATCAGAGAATTAGTGTGATAATTGGGAACTAAGTGTAAACAGAGATAAAACGAAGGTTGTAGTTTTTTATAAAAAGGTGGCAAAATATCGGGTAAAGAAAAATGGTTTTTCAAAGGAGAACTTTTAGAAATAACATCGTTCGATAAATATTGAGGTGTTTACTTCACCAAAACTCTGTCATGGAATAGACACACTAAAATGGCAGCAATACAAGCTCAAAAGGTTTTATTTGTATCTATAAACAGCTAAATGTTTCAGGAAATGTTTCATTTAAGCCGCCTTTTAAAATATTTGATGTTAAAAAAAGCCCAATACTACTGTATGGATCTGAAGTCTGGGGCTTACAACATTTTTATGTCTGTAAAAGATTTCTTGGCTTTAAGACAAGTACATCTAGTGTTATGGTTTATGGTGAATGTGGTAAATTCCAAATGCACATATTTTATCAAGTTAAGGCTATCAAGTACTGGTTAAGATTGTTGAACATGCCTGCACGCAGATTTCCCAAAATGTGTTACAATATGATGATAGTTTATGACAATAATGGAAAAATATGTGGGTACGAATATAAAAACATTGCTGTTTAAAACAGGTTTGGTAACGCATGGTAAGACCAAAACGTTAGCTGCCACCCTAATGTTATCTTGTCACTGACTCAAAGACTTAGGATATTTATGTGCAGACATGGTTTGAATCACTGACTCTATCAAACAAATGTTTCTATTACAAACCTTTTAAAGCGCAAATAAGTTTGGAGTGGTACCTCTCTAAGATAACAGTAAAGAAGTTCCCAGTTGCATTATCACCTCATCTCATGATTTATTTATAGAAACTGGACGCTATACTAACATTAATCGACTAGAGAGACTATGCCAACTATGTGATTTAAACATTGTCGAGGATGAGTACCATTACCCTCTTGTTTGTCCGCTGTACTCAGATCTTAGAAGAAAATATTTACCAAATCATTTTTATAGATATCCAAACGTTATTAAATTTATATCATTACTAAGTACAAACATTTTAATACTTCATAATTTATCAATGTTTACATTCCATGCAACATTACAAAGAAAGAAAGTTAATAATATTTGAAAAAATGTAAAAGTTACTCCTCGGGCGAATATAAATGTATGTACGTTTTATGTACTATATATTCTGTGGCTTTACAGTACGGACCGCCGCATATGGCTGTAGTATTGCTCAGTGCGGCGTCAAACTAAACTCACAAACTCTTCAGAACGGAATAAAGGTTGATTCATTGATTGATAGTTTTCAGTGTTAGTGCTAATATTTGCATTCAGTTATTAGTGTACAGTGTATATACTATAAAGTGTAATTACTACTATCATCGTTAGTTATAAGTGTTAGCACTAATATTTGCATTCAGTTATTAGTGTACAGTGTATATAGTATGTAGAGTAATAAGTACTAATATTAGCATTAGTTATTAGTGTTAGCACTAATATTTGCATTCAGTTATTAGTGTACAGTGTATATAGTGTAATTAGTACTAATATTAGCATTAGTTATTAGTGTTAGTACTAATATTTGCATTCAGTTATTAGTGTACAGTTTATATAGTATATAGAGTAATTAGTACTAATACTAGCATTAGTTATCAGTGTTAGCACTAATATTTGCATTCAGTTATTAGTGTCAGTGTATATAGTATATAGTGTAATTAGTACTAATATTAGCATTAGTTGTTAGTGTTAGCACTATCATTTGCATTCAGTTATTAGTGTACAGTGTATATAATGTAATTAGTACTAATATTAGCGTTAGTTATAACTGTTACTACTAACATTTGCATTCAGTTATTAGTGTACAGTGTATATAATAATTAGTGTAATTAGTACTAATATTAGCTTTAGTTATTAGTGTTAGTACTAACATTTGCATTTAGTTATTAGTGTACAGTGTATATAGTGTAATTAGTACTAATATTAGCGTTAGTTATCAGTGTAAGTACTAACATTTGCATTCAGTT